AACAGTAAAATAGTAGGACTGGGGACACAAATGTAAATTCTGGCAGAGTAGGAGTCATCTTCAGCTAAGACAGTTTAATTTTTTTAACAGGGTGGTTGGCTTTTGGATGTTGTAGAGGCAGTAAATTTAAGTGAGTTTAAGAAAATGCTTGATAAGTATATGAATGATAAGTGCTGGTTTTAAGATTTTTTTGTAAATTATTTTAATGTATTTTAGAAAATGGAACTTCCAAGATAGACCAATATTTCCCATGTTGTCCGAAAACGTTCTATGTTATTCTTAATATACTACCAGAATTAAAAAACAACAACAACAACAATATACTTCTCTCAAAATGTACATTCTTGAGCTGTATCTGTAATGCAGTATGAAATAGAATAATTGTGATGCTTAATTGTGTATTAATCTTATCATAATACATAATTTTCATGATATCTTTGATATGAAGAAAAGGTTAGCAGTTTTAAAACAATTTTTTCCTTCACATGTGCTTCTTTTAGAGTTTAAAAATTGTTTTCAGATGTAAAGTACAGTAATTAAGACTCATTGTTTAGTCTAGCTTTTGAAAGGCTTTACGAACTCACTCATAACTTGCTATCAGAATTTTCTTTTATTATTTCGATTGTTTCAGTAATATGTATTGAAACAGATACACCAAATGCAATTTGTAACTGCTACGGTAATTTCAATTAGACTTTCACTTTAATTCTTATTGTTAAAGCCATCACATTACTTTTAAAATATTGTAATTTTGTGCATACATGAAATTCTTAATTTTTTAAATTTTATGTAAGATCTTCTATTTCTTAAGATTGTATAAAAAGCTATTAAATAATCAAAAGCATTTCTGCATTCATAAATTTAAGAAAATGAAACATTTTAATTTAGAAATTTAATTCATTGTAACTGGGTAAGCATTTGTAGAAACAAAAAAGCCAATCAATGATAAAAAGCTGACACTGATTCTTTAGATGTAAAAGTCATGCTTTGAGTTCTTGCAGTAATATATACATGTATCTGTGGCTGATAGAAATATATGTTGTACCATATAGATATATAAGTATGTCTTTAACTATTTACAGGTCTTGCTTTTGTTGGTGGCTATGCAGCAGCTGCAGCTGCTGGTTACTCTGAGATACACCAGATGGCTTACTTGGGTTCATCTCTGTGCTGTGTTGGGGCTTTAGCAGGGTTATCCTCCCAATCTACTTCTCGATTAGGAAATTCTCTTGGGATGCTTGGAGTCAGTGGAGGAATTGCAGCCACCTTAGGAACAATGAATATCTCCCCTGAGCTGGCTATGCAGATTGGAGCTTGTATGGGTGCAGGTTGGTATTAAACCAATCTCATGCTAAGTTGAACACCTTAGAAGAATTTGTAGCAATTGATCCAAGTATCAGACATCACTTGTACAATTAATTTGAATAACCTTTTTAAATATAAGTTATCAGTATTAATATATTAAAAAGATTGCTTAGAGTGCAAGTACAGTACAAAAATACACTTCCTGAATGTAAGTTTACAGACTCAATCATTTATTTTTGTTGAATATACAAAAATCCACTCTGGTGCAAAATGTAGTCCAAAGGTGCAATTACACTTTTTCTTCATTTATATTATCCAAAAATAATGAGTATTATTTGGGGCACATATACCAGCTTAGTTTGTATGTTAAAAGTAAAAGTACATTAAACCATCCGACTTTTATGAAGATGGAGGATGTTGAGGCTTAAGAAGGAATTTTCATAGTAATAGATCTAATTCTTGATTAAAACCAGAAAAGCTTTTTTTAATATGTATGTATGCATATATATATGTTGATTTGTAAAAAACAAAAACAAAGACCATCCCTAGTAAGTTACATTATATAAAATTAACAGTACATGATGATAATAAAAATGAAAACTCTAAAACAATAGACTGTTGCTGTCTTTTACACTTTATTGAATTCAAAACAAAAAAATCAGTTGACTGTATTTAGTTATTTTATTTTTTGTTTATGTTTACACATATATTTGCATATAAATGTTTTTAACTAGGTTTCATTATTTTTAAATTGCTTTTACAAATGAGGCAGTTAATTGTTATTGTATTTTGGAAAATACTACCTCAGGAAATATATTCCTAGTTTGTGAATAGAAGTGATATAAAAAATGTTTAATTAATGTTATAAATTATTGTTAAAAAGCAATATTAATTTCTGAAACTGAAGGTTAAGAAATTACAAATTTTTAATAGAAGTGTTAATCGAATTTAATCATAATTAGCAAAATCTTGCAAGCCTGAATACTTAATCAAGAAAGAACATTCAAAAAAAGAATATCACTTTTTAAAATGTTAAACAACTAAAACATGATTCAAGTGTAATATCTTTGGTTTACGTATCTATTGTAATAAATTGACGTACACGTAAAACTTTAAGGTATTTTAATTTGTTTTATAATCCATCTGTGATATTTTGTACCATTTTATCACATTTATTTTCTTCCCCAAATGGGAAACCCAACTACTAAAAAGGCACTCAGTAATATAATTAACTATATTTTATAGACATTATAATCTATTTTAATTTCTTTACGATGCAGTCTTACTAATCTTTGACATCTATGCTTATTGTATTGTAATTCATGATGACTTCAAATCATATTCCATAGCTTCTAAACTTTGATAGTTGCTAAACTTTTACATATATCCTACACTAATATCTTTACCTTCCAGGAGGAGGTATTGGGTTGTATATTGCCAAGAAGATAGAAATTACAGACTTGCCTCAGTTAGTAGCAGCCTTCCACAGTCTAGTAGGCCTTGCTGCTGTGCTTACTTGCTTTGCCACATACTTAGTAGATTTTCCTCACTTTGCAACTGACCCCGCAGCCAATGCAATCAAGACAGCTTTATTCTTAGGGACCTACATTGGTGGAGTGACATTTAGTGGTTCACTTGTTGCTTATGGAAAACTTCAAGGTAAGCTGAGGAAATTATAAGTGTACAAGTTAAAATATGTGATGAGATACTATTGCAATCAAAATGTTTTCATTTACAGTTACTATAGCCAGTACATTAAGGCAGATTTTCAGGAGTCCATTGACTCCTAAGACTACATTTTTGCGAATCCCTTAACAGATTGGAGGACAACTCTTTTAATTGTACCCCCAAAAAGATTAACATTAATAAATGAAGAAGGAAAGTGATTAAATGATCTAGACTGAGTTATAGTACGAGTGTCACAGCATTTGTAATATGTATTGAAATATTATAAAATTTTTGATTGTTACATATTAAATTTCTACAATAGTTTAAAGATACAACAGTTTTCAAGTGTTTTAGAGATAAGTTGTTTGAATTGCATGATTTAAACGAGTGAATTAAAACCTTTGAAGCGTATTTGTGTCAAAAATTTAATTTTTTGCTACATATAATAAACAAATGATCTATCATTCACAATAATGAGTGTGACCTGGTTACTATAACAATCATATGCAGTTTGCATGTTAGAAAAATCGAGTTGATGGTGTGTTTTGTTATGTGTGTAATACATACTTTCTACAAACTAGAGGAAAAGAACTCAAATGAGTTTAACTCTTTGTTTTGAACAACCATTTAACATCATTTCCAATTGTTTAAATGAATTATGTAGTCAACTTTGTGAGCCCACAAAGCCCCTGATTATGAATATTTCAAAAATCTTAATGTATGTTTATACATGTTCATGACAGTTTTTATGTAAATCCATGGGTCCAGTTCCAAGAGCCATATGGGGCCAAAATTTTAGGATTTACAAAATCTAAATTTAGGTTTTTATTTTAAGTGGTTAATTACACACATTAATAGTAGTTTTTAAGTAAATATGTTTAGTGAAACCCACCAGTCCCAAACATCCCATGACCCTCTTTTTTTGGGCCCCTTATGGCTTTTTTGAAAATTTTTTTCTTTAGTTATAGTTAATGAGGGTCAAAGGTCTACATGTAAGACTTCTAGAAACTTTGTAAGAAACCATGGGAGGAGCTCAGAAATAAAGTAAACAAAGATACGTGCATGCATACATAGCTACAGTTGAAAAGCAATGTACACATACTTTTGTTCATAAAGAAATTATATGGTTGTCATGGTACTGAATAATACAATTTCTGATTTATTTCCAACTTGTTCAAAAGCTATAAAAGTGTATTTATTGTTTTAATGATCAATTTTTTTTGTAAGTATACAAGTTACATGAAAATATTCAGAGGCGTTTTTGTTCGTTTTGATTGAGAAATCCCTGCATACTCACAAAACAGGCTTTGTTATTCAAGTAAGGTGTGTCTGTGGCATTACTTCTACAAGTTTATCTCTTTTTAACAGTTTCCTATCCAAATGTTACTATGGCTAATTTGTCAAGTTATGTAGAAAGTCTACTGCCAATAGATATGGAGAAAGTAACTACACCTCTGCCTCGATACAATGTGACTCATTTTAGCATGATCCTCATTATAACATGATAGGGTTGTAGATCCTTTTTTTTTCATGAAAATTTGCATTTTACTTTTTAATAACTTTCAATTTTATTGTTTCTCCAATCACTTTGACTAATTTCACAAAGGAATTTTACAAACTGTTGGCATAGGACTGATCGGCCACAGTGTAACATGCACTGATCTTTCATTTCTAAACCAAACTGCAACACATTTGTTTAATGATTGATATATATTTTCTTTGAATACATGGAGTTTCAACTAACTTCTTCACTGTTAACATTTGTTGACAAGTATTAACACTATTTTCACTAAAAAATATGAAAACGTTCAGTGAAAAAAATTAAAGATACATATACATTCAAAACACAGTTAATATCATGTAATTTATCTCTCTCTCAACATGGGATTAGTCAACTTGACCAACCACGTGTCCTCTTTGTGCTCGTTCAAAGTCTTTATAGATTTGATACTACCAAAATTTAATATAGTGTGTATATCTTCATGAAATTTGGCAGTCTTTCATATACAAAAAATAATATTTTTTATTGAAGTATTTTTAACAAACTATAAAAAGATTTGCCCTTGAATATATTGAGAATTTGTTTTGAATAGTCTGTGTGCAAAATGATTTTCATGTTAAGATTACAAATACTTTTCTTCATCTCAAAAATCTCAAATTTCATTTGTGTAATCTCTAAAACTGCCTAAATACATTTAAAATGTTTTTTCCATGAGGGTTAGCAAGTATGACTCACGAGTACAAAAAAGAACTTCAAAACATCGTAAGGAGTGGAGATCATTGTCTCCCGAATATTTTTTAATTACTGTTCTATGTTTTAAGAAAAAATAACTGAAATTCAAATATTTATTTGCAAATAGTAATAATATATAGATATGTAATGTATGGTAACCAAAACCTCACTTTATGTTACAAAATATTGGAAACTATGCATTTACCGGTCACTGTGTAAGCATGATAGAATAGGAAACAGGATGTTCATAAGCACTTTCACACCTATATTACCATTAAATCCCGACCACCCAAGTTTATTGGGTCAGATACAACTTTGTCATAAATATTTTATATCAATTTTATATAGTACTTTATAAGTAAGAAAGTTCTTGTTGCAACTACTGTACTGTGTAAACAAGGCAATAAATCCTACCCCCCCCCCCTGTGTTTTCAGAGCCGAGATTTGAATAGGCTCTGTGGGAAACATTCAAATACCCACTAAGTTTATTGGATCAGCCCAGACTTTATAATACTAATACTTTTGACAATTCTCATAACCATTATACTGTCAACAAGTTGATAAATCCTACCCCACTGTGTGGAGAATGAAGTATAATGTTACAGTAAAGAAAATAACAGATAAAATATAAAGCTTTACTGAAAATAAAAATATTCGATATCTAATTACAAGGTTTTTCATTTGTTTTCTGTATTTATTATTATAAAAGTAACTAAAATGTAAAAAATGTAAACTTATTAGGTAAGATAATGAAAGAAAAATAATTTTCATGGGGGTATATGTGCCAGCAGGTTGTGCAATATGCTGTTTGATACGGTAATGTAAGGTGCACATGCATCATGTAATTTTCAACTTTTATCAGGGTATTTTTAGTCGGACACAGTTCAGAGGTCGATAAAACAAAAATTAATAAATATAAATAGATGTAAATTATTACAAGACTTAAGCTATTTAGAATAAACATTTGTGGTTTCTTGTTACAATTTGCAGTTATTCTAAGACAAAAAAAAGGTAATTTAGATTTATTTCCTAATTTTTATGATAGTTACAAGGTCAGTCAAATTGATCAACACCATATAATTAGCATTGATAAAATATCAGATTATATATATATAAAGTTTCATTCAAAAAACGTTTGATGTTTACCTAGAAGAATATCGGGATAACGCAAATGAAACTTGACAATTTTCAGATAAAGAAAAGTATTTTTAATCTTAAAATAAAAATTACTTTGCATATTAGATAGTCAACATTCTTAAAGAAAAAAAATCACAAGGAAATCTTTAATAGAAAATATTAATAGTTAATTTAAAAACCTCATATTTTGTCTATGAAAGCCTTGTAATGTTTACTAATATTCCAAAACATTTTTTAAAGATATGCATACGTTATCAAAAATTAGAGTATAATTATTCTCATGGATACTTTTGTGGTTATGAGATGGGTTGGATCCCACCTAGTCCATATTCGTAGGGTTAAAGGAGGAAAGAATGAAGAAGTAAAATTAATAAATAGCTTTAAACTAGCAGTTTATCAGAATAAATTAAAATTGATTTACTTAGGTTATACTAATTTAATATACAAATCAAAGTTGTCAATAGAAAAGTAGATAGATACCACACCACTAATTAAAACACATTATGAATACTGCATTAGCGTGCAAAACAGGTAGGTGGGGTAATTTTTTATGGCCAATCATCCATAATGCAACCTCATATTTAATAAGGTCTTAAGTGATGAACTCCAACAAATTGTATTATGGTACTACTAGCAGCACATAACAGAAATTTTACTATGGCACTACTAGCAATTCATTCTACTGTGTGATTTGTTTTCATGATACTCTATTATCTTTTTGCCATTCTTGGACTTGGAAAGTGTGAAACCAGAATGGATGTAGTCTGAATGATTTGGATGTTTTGAAGCATAATACTCCTTAAAAATGAAAATTAAACATAGCCTTTGTTTATGGAAAGGCTATAAATAAATATCTGTACCCCAAACTAATTAATACTGAGCCAAAACCTCGTCTTACTGCTGTAAAAGGCCTATAAAATGAAAAAAAAAATAATAAAATTAAAAGGATAGCTCAGGGTAATTTTTGTATGTAAATATAATACTTATTCAAAGGAGGTAACCCACTGACATAGCTTAGCTGTATTTATTACATGAGAAAAATTCTAATATTTAATTTTTTTGGAAAAGTTTTAATCATAATGAACTATCAGATCTTTCTCCCTTTTCTCCAGTTTTTTTTTTTATTTTTGTCAGCAGATTATAATTTTTTCAGTTTCTGTACCATTTTCCAGTACTACATATTGTACAAGATCTAACAAAGTGAGGCACAGTTTTTACTTTACAACCTTTTTGTCAGACATAATTTGTTTTATGAAATATTAATTTTAGATTATTTCTTAAGATCAAATTGTTGTCTTGCAGTTAGATTTAATTCAATGTTATTCGTACTCTCTGAAGTAAACATACTGTCAGGCTATTATAGCTTGTTCACTAAACACTTGCATCATGCTTATTTACATGCTGGAAATGATTTCAGCCTGATAATCTCCACAGATGAGTTAATTGGACTTAAATACAAAATTAGTATAGGTCTATAATGAGCAGTGTAATTTTTGTACTATGACTAAATAATCTTTGTGCTTTTTATCTGGACAATACCAAAAGAAGTTAGAAATACAATAACTCCAGTAAAAATGTTTATGTTAATACTGTTGTTGTCAGTATTGTATAAAATGATATAGACATAGTTAAGCC